TACCGTTTTTTGAGTGCACGGATACCGTAATTCCTTGACCGATTGGCCTCCGTAAGGCGGAAAATGCAGTCTTTATCCCTGCAAAACGACAATGCCGTCGTGGCTGCAATTCACTCCTTCGGGTCCCCTCCACCTTCCCCATACACGCGCTCTCCTTTGCAAGGATCATGACTGTATGTGTATCGAACATGCATCCAAACGCCCTCACAAGCCTTCCTGCAGTCCAATGCGTGGCTCATCCCTCGCGAGAGTGGATTAAGTCGGGTGCTCTGCTCTTTATCCTTCTTGAGATCTATGATGGCTAACATAATTGTTCAGGAATGCGAAGGCGACTGCATTGCAAATGTGTGCCGTTGCAAACAGGGATTCATCCGGCGGGAACTCGGCGGACCATGCATAGCAGGATCGTCTTGTCCTCCTGGTCGAAGTATCTTCTTTCTTGGCCATATTACTTTGATCGTCTTACTTTGTGCCATTTCAGAGCAAGTTCCGCCATCTTGTGATGGAGTCGTGTGCCACGAAGGCGCGCACTGTGAAGTTGTAGATTTACCTTGCACGAATGGTACCTGTCCTCAGCAAGCCATCTGTGTCGATGACTAGTGAAGCTTTCAACGATTTTTTTGTTAATGTTAATAAACTTTTGTAATAATTTTGTTAATAAACTCTTATTTAAAACTCCGGGAACTCGAGCTCTCAAACCTTAGATTGTTAACACCAGTTCGTGCAACTTCTCTCTTGCCAGTGTCCAACTTCTCTCCTGGTTAACTCGGCATTACTGCGAACATTCCGGTTTTCAATTTATCCTGCCGAAGAGGTTGTTAGATAGATTTCTTTGTTCAATTAGGCCTGCCGCTTCAACAAGATCTTCGTTCCCTGAAGCCTAAGCATAGTTCCAGGCTTGGATATTGCAACCTCTACACCGCAGAACCCTCTTCCTTCTGGGAAATATCAGAAAAATTACTTATATCCCAATGAGAGAAATGGGAGACGCTAATACCATGGGCGAAACGACGCCACACGATGTTAGTTGTAGATTGGAAGTGAACGTGATCACAGTGCTTTCGAAATTCGTCAAACTGTGTAGGCAGGATCCCAGGGAACTCGACGTTCAGCTTCACTTGTAGTGCCAACTCATGGCAACAGGAACGAGGACAGGTATCATCCACAGTAACCTTTAGAACTCCCTAGACTCCTACGTCATTAATCGCCGTTTGCTTGGTATTTGCACGGTGGTGTGGTACAGCTACCTTGCTACTTTGGTGTTTTTGGAATCTACTGCACAAACTCTCCAGTTTGACTGATACTTTTCAAAAAAAGAACGGGACTTCAATAATACACAAGTTTTGAAGCGCTACAGAGAACTCTCGAGAAAGAACCATTGAAGAATTAATGAATTCTTCACAAATATTTCACTGAATCTTTCAACAAAGACTGTTGTGCACAGCTATCCTCGTGGAAGCTGGTGTCCAGAACTTCGGCGCAGTACGGCTTGGTGGGAGCATCTGATGGGAATAGCAAAGCCTGTATGAGCCACTTCTGGAGATCTGTAAGCTTTGGCGACCAAAGCGGCCCATTTGCACCATTTCGCAGCTTCACAAGGGTCTACATTCGTAGATAACATGGACTAATAAAACGAACTAGCGAACGTGCAAAATGTCCATTCTAAGCCGAACAGCTCCCAGAACTCTTAACTGATACTCTTCCAGTGCCGCGAAGGTCAGTCTCAGTGTAGAGAAGTTGATCTTGCTTACAGAAGGAATACTCTCCTTCGGATAGTACAAGCACAATTATACATCCCCCCGC